TGGTCCACACCTGGACATCAGAAATACATATCTCTGTTGCTGAGCTCGTATTGGCACTATGCTCTGGGGGGCTGGATCATCGCCGCGATATCGGTGGGCCTGCTCTACACAGCACGCCTATTGCCGCTGCCGTATCAAGCCTTGCGGGACTTTGATCCGAGCGGCCCAGTTGATGCGGCACCATGGATACACGTTTTCTCTCCCTTTGTTGCACTGTTGAGTTTGCTGTGCGCTCCATACATCTCTTCCAACTGCTCGTCAACGACCAGCTGTTTTTTGGATGTGGCCTTCTGCATTCTCTTCAGGACAGTTTGCATTTTCTCCTTGTTAGTATGTTGTAAACAAACCACTCTGCTGCCACGGACTATGGCTTAGGTCTGTGTCAACCAGTCAGATGCGCTCCAACAAGAGCGAGGCAGTCTGTTCAAGAACACTTCTCCTTAAGCCCTTCTCGCACAGCGGCACGAGACTTCTGTCCCCACCAGCTGCTGTGATCCCCGATGTAAATGTAACGCACGTAGGCGTGCAACCGCTTCTTCGTAGTTGAGATGTAGATGTAGGTTTTCGTGTTTCCGAAGTTCCCCGCATCTCGGATTTGCCAGGCATCTACGGTATCGGAGGTTTTTTGGCTGTGTCTCGAGAGCTGCGTATCTTGTGGAGTCCACCTTACCTCTCACGATTATGGTGCGATGCTTGGCTACGTTTCATGGGGCGACGGTTATAGGATGTTATAGGACGGTCACTCAGAAATCCAGATTCGGGCATAGGGGGTGTCAAGCCAGCTGCCGAACCGCACTGAGGTCTTTGAAATCGCGGCATTTCGCAAGGCCAACCCACTTGGAAAGTTGGTTTTTCAACCGCTGTTCATTGAGCGTGACATCTTGGTACATTGGCTGGGCACGTACTTGATGGTAAGCGCACTGACCCTCTTCATCGCAAGTGAAGCTGGTCGCCACTCGAGCGCTCCTCGTGTCGTCTTCCTTAGCATTTGCTGCCTCGGCCTGCTCCCTGCAGTCCACTATGTCCGGAAAGGCTACAGGGAGCCTCGGGTGTAAATTGCAGCGCATTCTTAAAGACTCAAGCATTGAGTTGAGGTAGACAGCCAGATTCAACGTGTGTATACATCAGCTGAGGAGCAGGAGCAGATATCTCGGAGCCTCAGTGACTTTGACGTCAGTGAATTGCAATGCCTTAGCGACTTCGACAAGAGCTTTATCCACTCCGCCGTGGTGCAGTGGTACGGAAGCCTTGACGAGTTCAACATGTTTGTTCGGGGTCCTCTGAAGGATGAGATCTTGCAGACGATGCTGCTGAGTCGAGTGCCGCTTCACTACATCATCCTGAGCGTCAGCCCTGTCGCGGGCTTTCAGCTTGATTTGTTGGCAGGTTTGCTGGCTGCAGGGCTCCCCTTTGAGGCATGGGGTAAATGGCTGTTTGGCCAACTCCTGGCACTGAACATGTTGGTAGCATCTGGACCCCGGTTCAGGATGTCCTTTCTCTTCCAAGCTTTGAGTCACGCTTCCCAATGACGGCTAAGCGGCTAACTCTTCATTTAAAGCGCCAAACCCTCAATTCTTTTCCAACCCTAGCCATGCGCCGATCTGAAGAACATGCCGATAGGCTGAACCCCCAGAATGACCAAGACTTAAGTGCTTGCTTCAGCACGCTGTGCTTCGAAGGTATGCGAGGCGAAGTGCTTCTTCTGGTTATCTCAACGGTTTGCCAAGCCGCTCTTCTCCCATCCAGCTCTGGATTTTGGGCAGACTCTTTTGGTGGTGATTGTGTTTGCTTGCTGCCTGCTTCCGCCCGTCGTCGCCGTGTTCATATCCTACAATGCGAGTCTGATGGGTGCCATATTCACGTTTCTGGCTGCCTTTGCCATTCTGGTCATCACATTTTCTACAAAAGCTTGCGGCCGCAAGCCGCAAGACGCTTCTGAGCAAGTAGGCCGCACTGCGCTCCCATCGAGAAGAGCCCAAGTCTGACCTAGGTGAGAGCGCCAAAAGCAGGAAGATTTCGGCGGTTGTTCATTTTTCTAGCACGAGTCACCCCGCACGACTTGTAAAGTGACATGTCAGGCATTGGCACCTCTTTGCCCCACAGTCTCCTCGCGCAGGCTCCCGAAAAGCCCCTGCTCCCGGAACTTTGTTGCAGCATTGTAAGCGTTGGTGGGATAATTTGACCCGCGAGCAACAACAAAGCAAGCGATGGACACGGTTCCAGCGAGAAATTAGGATAAGCTCGGACGTGCCTTGAGCAAGGTGTGCATGACGTCCGCAAGTTCAAATGAATGTCAAAGCGGCAGTGCAGCATTGAGCTCTGATCGCTGGTTAACCACGCATGAATCATGTGTGTATTCCATCTGCGCAGCTTGTGGTATTTCAGGACATACACGCCTATGTAACTCTTTTGTAGGTCCGTGGGTGCATGTCAATTTGCGTGAAGCCGTCGCCACTCCTGCCTCGACCACCTCTTGGATTTCAACCACGTGGGCTATTCGCGCACGCTGGACAAAGACGGCCACGAGCAAGTCAGAACGGAGCGCACGCGGCGGAGGTGCATATCGTGCAGTTAAAACGACTTGATCACTGAGTATATTATGCATCGCCATTTCACGTGCAGGCGTTGGCTGGCAGGCCTGTGGTTGCATGCGAAGAGAGAAGGGACAGTACAGTCGTGCATTCTTAGCCAGACTGATGGAGGTGCCTGGTGCGACTGCGCAGACTGTGCCCCCGACTCAGAATGTCCTGCATAGAGTCAAAGAGCCCTGCCTCGAGAATGGTCTTCAGGTGCTATCGATTTGCTGAATATGGCCTGGAGCTTATTGACTTATTGCAGCATCCCAGCTTTACTACTGCAGCTACGGCACGGCACAGGCCACGTGTTGTGCCGGCCTGGGTCGATGGCTGCACCAGCTTCGCCGAAGAATCCGGAAGTTCAAGGCCGCGTGTTGAAGAAACATGCCACATGGATCGACATGCTGCGAGCACGAGCATAGAACAGCAAAGTGTATAAACTATATAGTGTATTGTGTATAGTATACAGTGTGCCGTATACAGTCTACCGTAAACAGTGTTTTGTATATGGTGCTTCGGATATAGTGTATAGAATCTGCTGTATTGTACATAGCATACAGTATAAAGTACAAGTACATAGCATATAGTTTATCGTATATACTAGCCTAGTTTATAGAACAAGAGAACAGTATATAGTACATAGTATACAGTATGCAGTTTATAGTGTATTGCTTAAACATGAGAAGTATATAGTGTACAGCGTGTAGCATATAGCAGACAATAAACCCAATATGACACCCTATAAACCCCTATAAAAATGCCCAAGAGAACAGGATGTATTACGGGAAATCACGAGGAGCCGAAGATCTGAGAACCCCCCACTGAAAATGTAGCTTACTGGGAGATCTTGGGGAACAGCCTTTAGAACACCTTAATTGTACTAATCTTAAAAAACACCCTCTGCTACCTTATATACACCTTATTGAGTACTCGAAAGCCTTTAGATTTCCGTGTAAAATTCTTTCCACCATATACCCAAAATTGCACCTTATACAACACTTGATGGGATACCCTATGGAATGCCCTACAGAATACCTGGTATAACACCCCCTACATACGCCATAGCCTTATGCAATGCCATCTGTATTCCAAGAGAACCTCATAGAATACCAACAACATGACACCTTATACACAAGGTTTTATATAGGGAAAATCAGGAAGAGTAAGACCTGAAAATCCACAATTTGAGTTGTAGCTTGTTGCTTATTGGGTAGGGGATTATTAAGGAGATCAGGAATCTCGGAGAATAGCCTATACAGGATACGCCTTCTACACACCTAAAGGAAGTTCATATAGAATACCCTAGGCAATACCTTCTAAAATACCCCTGTATTCCTTCCGTATACCTTATTGAGTAACCTGTAGCCTATAGAACGCCTTATAGATACCTTCTGGAATACTACCTATATATATATATATATATATATACATATATATATATATGTATATATGGCTAAGAAGCCCTCTCGAACACCTTGCAGATAAAGCGCGTATCTAGGGAAGCCAGGAGCTGAGAACTCGCGAGTTGACTTGTTGCTTGTATACCTTTGATATAATATAATACACTGTAACATATGGTGTTATAATGTGACATAGTTTATTCAGCACGGGATGTGTATGAAGGGAATGCGCAATGTAGGGTCTAGGAACTCCTCGAACAAATTGAATTTATTGAGTACGTGATTTATGTAAGGAATAGACTACTTTATGCAATACCTCCTACACATACCCATAGAAGACCATGCGCAACACGTCGTGGAGCAACCTTTAGAATACCTTAGCATGTCATACATTCTCCCCGACCCTCTACATATACACGTCACAGGGCATCATCTGGAATCCTCAAGTGCCGCAAAAGCCTCATGTGAGAGAACATACGAAGCCAGGGTTGGTCAATAGGGGGGCGGGGCTAGCATATGTATGTACATATGTATCTGTCTATCTATCTATCTATATATATATATATAGATAAAATATATATATATATATATATATATATATATATATGGGAGTATATACAGTACAGTTTTACAATATATGGTGCATAGTATACATTATGCACCGTATATTATGTAGCATATAGTATATAGTGTACAGTATACAGTATGCTGTTTATAGTATGTAGTATATAGTACATAATATGCTTGCAATTCGAATTGGCTTTCAGATGATGGCATACCGTTTTGCAGGTATCGTTGTGATCATTTCTTCAATCGTTTGTCCACCGGCAGCACCCAGAGGTTGGACGCAGACCAGTGGCCAGAGATCTCGTGGTAGTCGTTGCAGGCCACCTTCCGGCAACATGTGCAAAGCCAAAACCAGCTGCGCGGGCATTGGCAAGAGATTCGAAAGCCCAAGGGGAGCATACTGTTGCGAATTGCAGGCCCCACAGCTGTGGGCAAATCCGATGTTGCCGCAGCGCTGATGGACAGTCTCCGTGACCAGGGGCAAAAGGACCGGGTCGCAGCCAGAACGGCAGCATGGAGCTTGGACAGCCAAGACGAAGTGAAACAGTGCTGATTGGCAGGCCTGCCTCATCAGCGCTGATTCGGTTCAAGTGTACAGAGGCCGGACCCGAAGCCGCAGAGGCTCCTGACATATCATGAGGCGATTTAAGTACCATCCCAGGTCTGGACATCGGCTCCAACAAGCCATCCAAAGCCGAGCAGGCCACCTCACGCAGCCCCTTGCAAGTACAACCGTTGAGTGGTGCGAGCCTGGCCCAAGTCGTGTTGCAGGAGAGGTGGCCGATCGAGCTGATAGACACTCGGCAGATTCAGAGTTGAGCAGTGGGCAGCAGTAGAGTGGTGGGAGAGACCCAGCAGGACTGGCTGGAGCCGGATAGGCCGGATTCTCAGGGAGAGGGCCTAGCAATTTAGCGGAAGTCGTCGGAGAGATAAGACTGGTTGCATCCAGGCTGGTCATTTTTCCTTGACTTTTATGCTGATGTTTTTGTGAGGCCTTGCACAGCTGGCACGTGGACAAGGGAAGCGTTGCGCTGGGGACTTGTCGACATATGGTGCAGTCAGTGATGCAGCTGTCCGTTGCAACGAAGGATGCATCGACACTGCCGTGGGCAAAGGTTGCATGCCTATTGTGGTCGGTGACCAGTCGGCACTGGGTCTTTGAAGCCTAAGATCACGGAGCATGGTGGCATCTTGCTGCCTGTCGCAGCAAGTGACAGCTTACATGCCTCCTGAACTCAGCATTTTCCTGTCTGCCCAAGGTGGCTCCTGCGACTTGACTGCCACCATGACTCACGCAAGAAGTCTATGCAATACGTGCGCAAATATGTGATCATGCAGGCCCTTCTACCCAAACTCTACAATTGACCCAAGCCGTTCTGTCGTGCTTGTTGATTGTAGTGGCCTTGTTAACATGGCTTCTTTTGTTTGTCTGCTGTTGGAGTTTGTGTAATCCACTGGCATGCAGGTGTGTCTCCGCTGTTCTCTCAGCTGTACGCTGTGCTCTTCCTGGAAAGCCTTGTGCCATGTGACGAGTACTTTGCCTCTGACGCAACATGCAGGAGGCCAAAATCCTACACCTTCATCGTGAGAATCCAAAATCTTAAGCAGGAAACCTTGAAGCTGCAGTCTGGCTAGGCTCTCGTGCTTGTCTCGCCCCGAAGTGTCTGAGTTTCAGTGCCGAAATCCCGAATCCAAATCGAGGACCTACCCGTTGACATGGCATCCATGGCGCATTTGCAAGACTCGTGCCTTAGGCATGTACCTGGACTGGCTGGTGAAAGGCGAACCTGATGCAGCAAAGTCGGCCCTGGGCCCATCTGCTGCGCCAGTTTGTGTGTCTATCTCCATACGTCAGACTTACGCTTATTTCTTTTTATTACTGTTTGAAAGCCTTTTGCGCTGTTTCCAAGGACCCGGAAGTGCAGGCACAAATCTCCGAAGAGCTCCGGCCCTTTCAGGTGCCACTGCGTGTGCTGCCTTTCTTTGCATGACGCCGTCTCTTAGTCGCTCTTTTTAGGATGCCATGGATTGGGATGGTGCCCTGGCATTGCTTGCATCGGTGGATCCGATAAAGGCGAGCTGCTTGGTATATACTGTTTACAGTATACACTAATATATATATATATACAATGGAACATATACTATATATAATGGTTGGGCTTCATGGATGTTGACATGGGCGGTTGTGACAGGCTGACAGGATGATGCCAAACAACTGGCCGACTTCTCAAAACGATCTCGCTGTGGGACCGTTTGTATCTTCACCTCAGTCGAGAGATTGCATTCCCGCGATGCCCACCAGGCGACAGCTGTCGAGGCAACTCGAGGCCCTTACCGCTCAAGAAACCTCCCCTCACTTACCTTTGGTTAGTAGGGCATGGAGGAATGGGGCACAATTATAACTACTATTACTACCATTCTTCCATTCCCTACGAACCAAAGGTAAGTTCATTGCTCGCCGGGGCGGTTCAGATCTCGCAGGTGGCCAGATCTCCGCCAAGGCAGACTGGAAGAGGATCCCGCGATCGTTTCTGCGCAGCGCATGGGTTTGGTGAGGGTTCGTTCAGCTGCAGGGGCTTCGCTGATGTAGCTCTGAGCCGAGGCTACGACTTTCGGGCGATCTTTCTCAGCCCACAAGATCGACCAGCACTCTTCCACCGAATAGACACTTGCTGCACGACTTCTGCAAGAGAGCGATGGGTACAGGAAGGTTGTGACACGGGTTTGGGGCAGTACTCGGAGCAGCTAAGGACAGGCCGGCTCCCAACCATGGGGGATGATTCAAACTGCCATCTGCCATGAGTCGGCTTTCTGAGCTTTCTTACTCAGGCGCTGTGTGGCCATGCTGCAAAAGGGCTTCCTTGAGGAAGTTGCGGGGGCCTCGAGAGGTCCTCAGCTATGCAAGCGGGCAGCCTCTCCAGAATCTGAGGCCACGCTCCTCGAGAGAGGCCAATGTTTGCACTGCTGGCATCGAAGAAAGTTGGGATCTCTGATGCATGAGGCCTCATCTCTCTGGATACACCTGCTGCTGATGCAATTGGCCCATTCCTGAGTTGGTGCTTGGTTATGCAGTTATACAGTTATACGGCGCCCCTTTCGGTTCCCGACCCCGGAGGCTACCGGCAGGTCATTGAGTATCTCACGAGGCGGTCCCACAAGCCTGTGCAGTGAGCGAACGGGTGAAACTCGCTAGTGGTGGCCATTTTCATTCGCATCGTACTTTCTAGCAATTTTTGAGGGCCAGCAGCATAGTGCACGGGCACAGGCCGGAGCCACAGTACGGAGATGCCGCGAGTTTGGTGGAGTTTGTGCGAAAGCCAGCTGCCAAGAATGACCCTCTGGTCCTTCACACTTTCGATTCCTGCGAGAAGCTTGCTGCCTTTGTCAGTGAGGTTTGGGTCTGTCTCGAGGCATCGGGCTCAGATTGCCATTCCCATGACATCCCATGACTGCAAAAACGCTGCAAGCCTGTTTGCCCTGGAGTTCTGAGTGTTCACAGGAACTATGCCAGATCACAGATGCGACTTGACAGTCATGGAACTTTGATGAACTTCGAATTTGGTTTGTGCATGCTGGTCCTTCGCTTCGTGAGTTACCACGGCAAGCCCCAGGCATTGGTTCATGAAGGAGACTGAGACTTGGGACAAGTCAAGTCAACACCTCGCTGTTCCATGAGAACTCTTGTAGGACTCAGCTTTCGTGTGGCTGGAGACGGATCCAAGCAATCCCGCACTGACTGGGGTCTGAGCCTTACGTGCCGCGATGCTCACGGAGAGGCTGAAGCGACAAGTAGGCTTCGGTAGAATGTAGATCCGTTGGGACTGCTCCTATGACGGACTTAGAGTCTATGCTAGAGCAGCCGGTTCAGAAATTGGCATAGTTAGCTTTACTGGTATTCACCTCGGGTTGCCGACTTCGTTAGTTACAGTAATCAGTAATCCCTTGGAATCCCACCGCGTCTCCTCACCAAGGTCGAGGTGAGCAGACTCTGCGGCCTTGATGAGTTTGACTATGCTTCTGAGGCCTGAACTTGAGAGGGCCAGATGGTTATTTAATTATGATGACGTTGCTGATTATTAAGGGTAGTCATTATGATTATGGTTATTCTTGTTGTTATTATTATGGTTAGTATTGTTATTGTAATGATTGTAGGAGCATAGGAGGCGGAGATTGAAGCGGGCACTTGCCTTCCTCCGCAAGCGCCAGGCAGAGGTGGATGGTGAGGTCCGACAAATGCAGGCCCGGGGCCGGGGCCGGTGATCCTTTTTGACAGGGCGGGACAATGACATAGTATATAGTATATCGTTATATCGCGATATAAAACAGTGCATGTGTAAATAAATAAATAAATAAATATAAACAAATAAATAAATATATATATATATATATATATATGTATATCTATATATATACATAGATATATACACACATACATATATAGATATATACGGATGATTGCATATAGTATGTAGGTATATCGTATAAGATATGCAGAAAGAACCCTAGTACATGAGAAGCAGTGACCAGGCTGAGCAGGCTTCGGCCATGGCTTGGACGTTCACCAGTGCGCTGGAGCAGGGCGAGGTGTTGACAGCCCAGGAGCAAAAATTCTCAGAGGTAGCACCGGGGACTAAGGCGAAGGTGGTCGTGCATATCTGCCGCGCTTAGCCAAGTCCCCGACAGTGGTCGAAGTGCACAAGCTGCAGGAGTTGTCTGAGCTGCTTCCGCGAGCCGACAACTGCACGAGAAGAGCAAGAGCCTTACCGATGTTCTCTCCCCGCGGATGCCTCAATGCCCTGGCAAGGTTCCCTCAGCCGCCAGACAGCAGCCTCAAAAGATTCGCGCCATCGCCGTTGAGAGTGAAGTTCCCTGCCTCGTGATGGTGGGTTTGCTTGCAGGGCGGATGTGTGCGAGAGAGCTGAGGTCCCATATGGCAAGGCCCGGAAGCGCGCTCTTGCAATGCAATGCACGGACAACGTTGACCACTCTACGACAGAGGTGTATTGGCCTGGACGGCATCGCAAGCAATGCCCTCAGACACCCGCTTGAAGGCTTGCATCCCATCAACATGCACTTGATACATGCAGGCCACCTGTAGCCGGTGCAGCCGTCCCATCTTTTGCAAAGCAATGTCGTGGCGGCTGAGGTGGGGTTGGGGGAACCCTCTGGGTAAGTTGCACCGGCAAGGGCTGCAACTTTTCCAGTCGAGCGGCTGGCAGGCCCCCGAGCCGCCGAACAGATGTTCCATTCAACACGCGTGCGCGCGTGCGCATCTTGGCAGGCCATCGGGGAGAGCGACGAGAGCGTTGTTCCAGCGTTCTGCTGGCCGACACGACGCCGGCAGCACTATGCGTTATGTACTGCATCAGGTCAGTGGTGAAGCACAGGCGGTGGTGTGATGGTTGCAGTGCTGGCTTCCTCTAGATGTTGAGCGCAGTGTTAAGGACAAGCCGGAAAGTTTCCGGCAACTGCGTCTGGAGGGGATATTCTGCCGCTCATCAGGCCGTTTCCCCAGGCTCGCAGCCATCGGTGCCAGAATATGTGTTGATCCGCATGTGGCGTAGACTCCGCCCTGAAGGACTTCACAATGAGACTGGACAACAAAGCTGTTCGGCTGCAGAGCAAGTTCGCTGTAAAGGCCATCAGGAGGTTGATGTTGTAGACAGAAAGCCGTTTTATAAACAAACTGTCAAACTATACCCTACAGAACATGTGTCCGGGTGTGAGTTCCGAAAGACCACAAGAGCAAAGGCTCAGCTGGCTCGACACTTGCAGGCAGCAGGCTGTGATGTGCATCCGGAGACCTGGGATGCGCAAGACTTTCTGGCCAGCCCTCCCTCTGAAAAGGGATTGTTCTTTCTGAAACACAGCCTCGGCGTGAAAGGTACGGGTGTACACTTGTTTGATTATTCTGGCCTATTGCAGCGACTAAACGAGCTTGGAAACAAAGGATGCCGACAGTTCATCGTGCAGCGCTACGTGTGGCCACCTGCATTACAGAACGGGCGAAAGTGGGTGTTGAGGGCACATGCTCTGTTACATGGAAAAACCGACGGCAATCTGCGGCTGTACTGCCATAGTGACATCATCGCTCTAGAGTATGGCCAGCCTTACACGGAGCAGTTGGACTTGCGCGCTGCTCACATCAGCAACGTCGCGAAGATCAAGCACCTGCCCAAGCCAACGCTGGTTGATGATTCCGAGCTTGCGCACCAAGTGCATCGCTTGACGGAGCAGACATTCGGAGCTGTTCTTGAGCATGCGCCAAGGGGGCCGTTCACTCCCGAAGAATCGGAGCTTTGTCAAGTCTTCGGGCTGGATGTCATCCTGGATGCAGGCGGGAAAGCCTGGTTACTCGAAGTGAATGACTACCCTGCGATTGCATCCGGCACCATGGAGCACGTGGAGACGGCGGTCTACACTCGGCTGGCGAGGGATCTCTTGCTTCTTGTGGTTGCTCCGAAACTGGATGGTACAGACCCGACTCCAGGAGGTTGGTGCGAGCTGAAGTTGCCAGAGGAGCGAAAGGGCACAGTACTTGCTTCCAAGAATAACTTACACCAGCTGCAGTCTTTCATAGGTTGGGTTGCAACAGCAGAGGGCAGCCAGTGTGCATGGATCCATGTCGTCTGGCCTGTCAGTTCAGAGCCTCGCGCGTATGCCTATGCCTTGGCTCAGCATAGGTTCAGTCTTGAGGGGATTCGAGGGGCGAGGAATTAATGTACATGTTGGACGGAGTTCTGAGTGGTGAGAGCCTTGCGAAGTGGGATCACGTCTCTTGGCCCGGCTGGCCTGGCCCCCCCATGCAGATGGCCCAAGTTGCAGCCCACCTGGCTCGCAACTCAAGCAGCTGTTGCTTTCACTCTTGTGCTTCATGCAGATGGTGGCTGCCGTCGGACAGCATCATGCAGCACGGCATTGACTTTGCGTTGTAAGCCGACTCGGCTCAAAGGGACTGCTTCACTGTCTCTTTCACTGTTCCTCTTCGACTAGCAAAAATCGTACCGCAGAGAGGGCCATGACCTTCGTGTGCCCCTCGAGTTTCTTTCTGCATGTCAGCGACAAAGTGAGTCAGCACTGCACCCCATTCCGCTCAACACAAGGTCTGCTACTGTGGCCACGCATGCTATCCACTTCGACTACTTGCCTTCTTTTGGATCGCAGCACTGCCCTCAGAGGTACTGGTGGGCAGATGTCCCCAGTCAAGAAGTACCTGCCCGCTTGCCATTCTCCCGTGTCGGAGCCACTTCGATCCGCAGGTGTTTTGGACGGCTCGCGGTGCAGAAGACGACAGCGCGCTGCTGGCGGATGATGAATGTCGTACCGAAGGTTCTGAGTCCCCGCCTAATGCCATCGGCGCATGCGTAGCGGCCTGATGTTGCCCGTTTCCGAGTTTCTTGAAGACTAGTGACTAGAGCCAAGGTGCATGCTGCATGCGCTTCAGAAGCGAGGTGTGGTGTTAGAGTGCCTTGCTGAGCTTCGGCTGGGGCGGGGTGCTGGGGTCAGCTCACTGCTATGAGTAATGTGGACCAAGGCACAGGGTGCCGCTGCCATCTGATCCCGAAGCGGAGCTAGACAACAGCACCCCTGACAGCGAGTCTGTGGAGAAGGTGGGCCGAGATTTTAGGTTGTCGTTTGTGTTGCAAAAGTAGCTGAACACAATTTGAAGACTATTGAGCATCCTCTCCAGGTGGAAGAAAGCACCGATGATGCCACAGAAAGCAGCACCGGTAACAAGACGGAGACGCCGTCGAAGGCCATTCACTTCAGATATAAATTACGGGCACAAAGCACAGAGCCTTGAACTCTTGCATGACTTGTCTGTCCAGCTCATGAGAGCAGGTGGTGGATGTCGTGGACAATGTCACGGACAACGTCACGGTCACCACTAACAGCACCGCAAACACCTCGACTAACGAGACGGTCAAGAAGGCCAGCTGTGAAGCCATGCCCCCTTGATATTCTGGCAGAACGGAAAGAGAGTCGACGATGTCGCCGTGCCTTCCAGCATTCACCAGACATAAGCCGCAGTGCACAGAATACAAAGCTATGCATCAGTGCGGAGGACGACAAGGACTGCGCGGAGCCGTTTCTTCAGTGCGGCGGCTCCGGCCTCAAATGACGTCTTCGGACGCATGCAACGCTTGTGTACGTTTAGCTGCAGGAAGAGAGACCGTGTCAGGTGAAAGCTGGAAAGGGCCCACATGTTGCAAAGGAACCTACGTTTGCCATGAGGCACATGAGCCAGTGCACTCCTGAAGTAGAATAGAAGATGCAGCACCGGTGCGCAGGTCAACGCTTATTTCTCGCTGTGCAAGACAGTGGAGGTTCTTCTGCTCCGCTTCCAGTGAGGACCTTTTTGTGCAGCTCACTGCCTGCAGGAGCTCGTCAGAGAAAACACCACGACAACGTTCCTTGGAGGGGTATTGGTAGATGATGGATCAAGAGCATGACGATAGATAATTGGGTTGGAACTGTTGTAAACTTTCGATAAGGACCACTACGACGACAAATGCTGATCCACAGCCGCATGGCCTGCGGTTCTATTGTTGTTCCCTATAAAAAGGGAAGCAATAGCTGCCAGATGCACTATGCGTAGCACGATCAAGGCATTGCCTGAACCCGTATCAGCAATGTGGCGGTATCAGAACTGACGGAAGCTTGGAAGCAAGCATGCAGTAACACTTTTGCTTTATGAACTCTGGTGAGGCTGAGGGCTCTATGGAATGAGGAGGCATCGTAGGCTTACGAGCCGGTTGGTTCCCGTACTCCTGAGGCCTCAATCCGAACAGTCACCAAGCCTTAAACCGTAAACCCTAGACTCTAGACCTAAACCGAATGTGAAGTAACAGGCCCTGGACCCTGGCTTGATCTCGAATTCTGCAGCAAAGTTTACTATTTCTTGTTAGTGTGAGTCGCTTGTGACTGACTGGGTTCTGGCACAACTGACTCACTGTTAGAGTAGCAAGCTGCGTGGAGAGACTTTGGGGCCGTGCCTGCTGAGTGCGAGCGTGTGAGTCGCGACCCCGCATTCTTCGTCTCCGCGTCTCCGAGGTGTCGCCTATGTGGGTGAATCCTGCTGCCACGGTGGGTACTACTGCACGGAGGCCCCTACGGCCCCTGCGGATCTCTACGGCTGAGTTACTGGCAATACCAATAACAATGCAAAGAATCATGGCAATAAGAACAATCATGACACGAGTACCAGTGATGTAATGAAACCGATACCGATACTACTTATAACACTTATAGTTATAGTAAGAACAAGAATACGAATAAGAACAATAGTACGGATAAGGCTACCAGTACTAATATTAATGAGAATAGAATCAATAAGAGGAAACATAATAACAACAATACCAATACTGATAATCATAATCACGACAATGACCACCACAACAACAGTGGTAACATAAATAAGAGTAATAACAGAAGTAGTCACCATAAAGGCAATAGCCACTATAACGTCAACAAAACAGCAATACTGGTAATTACAAGAACAACAATAACAACCATGGTCGCCACGAGGACAACAATTGTCTTAAATAGTGAAACGGTAGTAATATTAATGCGAGTAGAAGTTGCCAGAAGAATAACAATAAGAGAAAGAATACTCGCATCGGCCTCAGTACGGGTTTGACAAGATGTTCGTACAAATACACGTAGCAAAATAACAGTTAGTATAATGGTAATAAGCGCAATAATAATATAACAGTAGTGGCGGTATCTGTAATAATACCAGTAGTAAGAATGTGAAGTACTTGTTTGTGTGATGCTCTGATGCCCTTAGAGGAGCTGACTGATTGGCATTTTGCCAAAAGCCAGCTTGTTGGAGCAGCTCAACAGGATCAATGAATGGTCGGGTGCATGCAGAGAGTATAGCCTTTGGACTATGCCTGGATGTACCTACAACCCTGCCTAGTGATTCGCTGAGCCATGCAGGAGGTGTCGGGTGTAGCGGTTCGGCTGGGTTTGGCAATACACCCGTCTCTCACATGTACATGCAGTGCTGTACAGTTGTGTTGATGCCAGCAGTGCTTGGATGTTGTGTATCGGTGTTGAGTACACAGCTCCGGTGCTGGCACAATTGCTGTGCTATAGTGTTCTTGATTTTCTTTGCTCCCTTTCTTGTTGTTGCTGGACAGAATGTCCTCTGGCTTCGGGCCCAGTCGACCACTGCCCGCTGTCGAGGGGGCGGGCCCCTACTGGTTGCGGCCTGGAAGCTGCAAAGCGATGCCCCGCTTCGAGCAGGATTTGGTTGTCGTCAAGCTGCATGGCCGGCCTTTTCCAAGTATTGAGGAGAAGGACAGCAGCGATTGGTCAGATTGGCCTAAGCTTTCGCGTTTCCACAGCATCCTAGACCACACCACCCCAGCGAGGGACTCTTCAGACCGGCGCGACACCTTGGGTAAATTGACGAAAGCGTCGCCTACACTGCCTACCCCGCAGGGCTCAGGTCGCGCGTTGGATGCAGTGGCACTTTCTCGGTGGGTGAGTGGTGCACAAAGCTGGCTCCTTTCTTGGAAATGTCAGCGAACTACGCGGCGTTGGGCTCCCTGGCCATTGGGTGTTTGCGGAAAGTTTTGCAGTGCAAATCCGCTTCTACTTTGCGGCGGCAGATGTGTGGGCTGAAGGTTTTCCTTGAGTTTCGTGACGGGGAAGATGCCTGCAGCATTTGCAACCCGGGACGCTTGATTCTTGTCAGCTTTCTTTCGGCTGTAGGTGAAGGGAAGCGGTCAGTGGCAGGTGCCGTGTCGGCGCTCAAATTCACGGCGGCTCTCATGGGTTGGCAAGAGTTTCTCTGCGACCTAGACTGCCAGGTGGTTTCCGCATGGAAGCGGCCTGTAGGCCCAGCCAGAGCCCGCAAAGAGGCGATGCCGCTGCCATTATTTGCCATTGCAAACTTGGAGAAGGCGGTCATGTCAAGTGGCAGCTTTGTGAAGTCCATGGACACCTTCCTCATTGTATGTTTCCTGGTGATGTTCTGGGGGGCCTTGCGGTTCTCGGACCTGCAGCGCATCGAAGTGGAGACTATAGAGCTGCAGGGTGTCATTGCGGCAGGCCATTGCTGCAAAACTAAAGCTTCCACTACAGGCATGCCGTGGGGATGCTTATGTGCTGGCATTTATGGGCCCTGGGCTCCTGCGCTTCCTTGGGTGTGCAAGTACATGCAAGCTCACGACTTTATGATCGCGGGGCCTTCCGGCTCCCGAGCGTCTTTCACATACGTGATGGCCCAATTTCGCAGAATCTTGGTCAGCTACGGCGGTATACCTGCCGATGTGGTGCACATTTACTCCCTGCATTCACTCAAGGCTACACCATTATCTTGGGCCTTACAGGTTGAAGTGGAACCCACGATGAGTAGGCAACGTGTGAGGCAAAATGATGATACAAACAATACTGGTAACAATAGTAGGAAGTATAAGAATATAACTCAATCGGCACTACCATAATAGTACCAGCAATTAGGACAATGACGATATGATACAGATAACACCGATGACAAGAATAAAAGCTCACAGTAGCAATAAGAACAATAACGTTGATACTAAGGACAGGAATGGCAATAGTAATCAGACAGAAAATAGTCACATTATTACAATAGTAATAGCCAAACAAGTCATAACAGTAAGCATAACAACACCAAGAATATCAATAATAGCAAAATGACACTCATCACCGTAATAAGATTATTCGTAGCAGTGTCAATCACAACAATAACAATATCAATAAGAACAAGAGCAATACTGGTCACCTTAGAAGTAATATTGTAATGATCCTCGTAGTACCAAAGGGAAAGCTCACAAACATAATATTGTTATTGTCCCCATTAGAGGTGGTCCGACGAAGTGTGCCTTGCATGAAGAGGTGAATACCAATTGGATGCAATGCGATCCGACGAAATCGGGAGGTCCACACTTCGTGCATCTGGTCCGGACGGTACAGGAGCAGCAGGATGGGACAGCACGAGTTGTGCGAGTTTTTGGCATCTCAGGTACAAGCCTACGGAAGAGCTGAAGCGACTTCCATGCGATTCTCACGTTTGCTGAACTACCATAGCCGCCTGCCCATACTTCTCCTTCTGCTGCCTGGCGATTCTGCCATCCAAGGGAGCCGAGCAAGGCACCTCTGTTCACGTACTACGTCTACAGGGCCGAGTCGGAAAATTCTGCCTCGCGGCTGCAAGACGCCACGCAGTAGCTGTGATGGAGATGGTGAGTGTTCCAACTGCATAGAGCTGGAATGATCGGCAAGTGGCCGTGCTGTCAGGACTATATCGATAACGTCAACGCGCCACGCTCAGCTGCTGGTCATGACGCACGGAATACATGCATCAGCAAGAGCGACATATGAAATACTTGGAGGTTGGCAACCTTGCTGGCACGATGTGGTATTTACACAACGAGGTTGTTGTGTGAGTACCGCCATGGGGCCATGGTGTTCAGGGGAGCATGCCCCTGATAGCTGCAGGTGGTGTGGATGACACCACGAAAGTTCAATATCACAAGGCCCAAGAGCTACAGACAGTGATTTCACGTCCCAGGGCTCAAGCCAACCCGGCCTTGCAAGGCTCCAGCGCTTCAAAGTTTCGAGCAGGGCGACGCAGCCCCTCTACAATTTGGGCATGAACTTCGGAGCTCCTTGCCTGCACTGCCCACTGCTCGTGTTGCAGAAAAACCGATGTTGGTCAACCTGCTGGGACCTGCTGCCGCTGAAGCCCAGGTTCGTTACGCGTACGATGCCGCACAGTGCACCGGACCTTGGAACTGCGACATCAACTATGGAAGGCGAGGTCCCCGGGTTCATTTTGCGAAAGTAGAAACCCCCCGAAGGAGCTGGCCTGCGAGGTATGGCTACTTCGTCGGTTGCAACAACCTGGGGGAGTTTCCATTCCCTACGTACAAAATCTACTATGAGGGAGCCAAGTAGCAGCCCCAGAAAGGTCTTGCGGGATTGGGAGAGCATGCCTGAGGCGGTTTTTGCACTTCAGGTGGTACACGCTTCCGGGGCCATGCCCGGCAAATACATGGAAGGACTCTTTCCACGGTTGGTAACAGGCAATAATAGGAAGGATCGTTTTTCATGAGCGAGCGGAGTTGACAATGACGTTGGCTTTGAAGCCTCTCTTTGGTTTTGAGGAGAAGGATGCCGCTTGTATCAAAGACCAGCCGGGTGGCCTCTGTGCTGGGACCTTGGATCTGTCCACACCGCGACGATGTTGTAAATATGGAAATCTGCACGAAAGACAGTCCCGCTACGTAGCTTCACCGTCTATGCTCCTGCGCGCGAGGAATATGCAGCGCACCTCAACTGACCCATGTATCGGCTCGATACGACGTATTTGGGACCGAGGAAGGCACTCCCACGGGTGCTGGTGACTGCACATTCAACATCGAGCATGCAGGGGCAGCTTGGAGAGCACTAGTTTGAAAGATCTCGGCTGTGCGCTGCTCTGTGACACTGGGAATGGTTCTGCAAGCGCAGGAAATCTCGATTGATGAGATCGAAGGTATCAAGAACTATGCTCAATTCATCAACGAAGGGCCCTCTGCTCTACACATTCGCATGCTTCTGACATGCGGGGATAATTACAGAGCCACGCTCCAGTTTGGTTTCGGTGAAGTGACTGGTGCAGGTACGAAGAGTTCAACAAGACAGACGACAAAGGAATCGGCCTGGACTTTTGGCCCTTTTGCTGCATCTGCGGTTTCTACCGATCTCTACTGCAGCAAGCCTAAGCAAATCTGCATAATTTTCCAGGAACAAGATGAACGACACCGAAGCCAACAACGAAAGGATGGCAAAGGCACATTGCCCGACAAGAATTTCGCACACCTCCCTGTTTGTGGCCGCGACCAGGTGGACAAGCTCTTCAAGGAAAAGTTCCCGGACTTGCCCAGTGACATGCCGTGTAACAAGGGTTAGTGGCACGCAGGGTTGTGGTGTAGAGTCTGTCTGAGGCGATGCAGATTTGCCATCACCAACATGTGATTTCAAGTTTCAAGAGCCGCTTTGCCGAACAATCTGCTGTATCGCTGAGCTTGTTTGCTCCACGTGTGCCGTGGCCTCAGGTTTTACACGGGAACGACTACTACGACCACTACGACTACGACAACGACGACCACAACAACAACCCTGGCACCTCCTTGCACAGTCCCTGGCTCAGAATGCCATGTTCAAAGCGGCCAGGTTTCTTCAGCTTGAGACTTAGACATGTATCCCTTTATCCCGCAAGCTGCTGTTTTCCAGGATGCAGCAGCTGGTGATCGCTGCTTCAGCGCAGTGCGATGGGCCATGCAACATGGCCAACTCCTCAGAGCAAAAACATCGGCGCAGACAGGAGTCGTCCTCTCAAGCAAGACGGAAGGAGTCGTGCGTGCCAAGGCATCCATGCTCACCCGGAGTGGTACCCCGGCCTGTCGACACATTCGACCTTTGCTGACTTTCAGGCTCGCCCGCATGTCAGCCGGCAGACCAAGTCCCCTGCTTCGTGCGTCTAGTCTAGTTCTTGTCATGCACTCGCTTTGCTCAGGCGCAGGTCCATCGAGCCCGGCCCCAAATGAACTTCTTCGTCGGCAATCCAGCAAGTGTCGTCGTTTAGGTTTAGCCTGTACTCCGATACTGAGGCTACGCCGGATGTCTGCCCTGTCCCCTGCCCCAGCAGCTCAAAGCCAGTTGCCCCTGCAGCCCCAGCAGCCCCAGCAACCCCAGCAAGCCCAGCGCCGGAAGAACCAGCAGCGCCCGTGACAACTGCGGCGCCCGCGCCGGTCGCTCCTGCTGGTTGCCACGCCACTTGCCTCACAGAGTCCTCCATTCGATGTCCACCGCGCTTGTGCTCTCCGTTGCTTACGCCAAATTCAGCAGCCGGGGATGAGTGCTTTTCACAAGCCAAGGATGCTCACCCAGGAGAGTCCTGCTACTCAGCCGTGCGGTGGGCAATGCGCGATGGAATTCGAGAGCATCCACATTGGTATCCTGGACTTTCGTCCACATCGAGTTTTGCAGACTTCCAGGCATCCCCTCGCTGCTTTGTAGTTGAACTTGCCATGTCTGATTTGCCCCCTGCTGTCTCGTTTAGGCCCAGGTGCACAAGGCCGCACCCTTGGCAATCAGATTGCAACTTCCTCCCAACTCCAACACGCATATCGCTCTCAGCTGAGGCCACGCCCAGGAAGTGCCCTCCACCTTGCACTGCCCGCTGAGAAGCGGTCGACCCGCAGCTAATGTAGACTTGAAGAGTGGGCCACCAAGCCGGAATCTTTGACGGCGGATGAGCCCGAAAGGGGACAGGCCGCTCTTCTAGTATCTCCACTCCTTTCAACTCCATTTGAGAAGCCGATGCCGATGCTGTCGGCTTGACTGAGTACCGCCAGAGATTGTCGCGTGAAATTAGCTGTTTCTGTCACTGTTACGAGATTCCTTCACAGCCTCTACAGAATCGGATTCAAGCTGAGACCGGCCAGGTGATTGTAGCGAGCAGCGAAGGCTGGCGTCCGAGAGTCAGGGGTTGTTTGAGCCGGGTTTAGAAGGAGCTGCTTTGCAACGGAAAGCAAAGTGTCTGTGTCAAGATATGGCGACCAAATTTTGCGGTTCTTCTCCCGCTCCCGCACCACTGCAAGCGGATGTTCAGCCCGCGCGAGTTGCGGGGGGGCATGTCGAATACAACGATCGGCTTGGAGCGATGAGAGCCCGTCTGAGAATTGGAGTCCTGACATCCTTGCAGGTGCTGGTGTGTGTGTGTGTGTGTGTGTGTGTGCGCGCGGAGGCGCTCATCGCAGCCGGCCCACCTGGATCAGCGGGTACCACTATCTAAAGCCTTGCTTTTGGTTTCGCTGTGGCGCTTCATGCAGATTGTTAGGCTGCACGGTTAAAGCCTGGCATGCCTCGCTGCACGTCCCAAGCCGACTCGGCTCCGAGGGACCATGTTGCACCGTTCCCTTCAGTCTTCCTCTTCGACCAGCGAAAATCCTAATGCAGAGAGGGCCATGAACTTTGTCCGCCCCTCGAGATCTTCGTCGGGTTCTGTAGGCCAGCCAAACCCCTCTCCGAGAAAAGCGAGGTCTGCCCTTCTGGCCACGGATTCCCACTTCGACTACTTGCCTTCTTCTGCATCGCAGCCGGGGCCCCTACAGCCGGAAGAGCGCACGTCCCGAGTCCTGAGCAACTCGGGGCTCACAACGCTACGTTGATGTGCAGGTGACGGCTCGTGGCGCAGCAGACGACAGCGCACTGCTAGTGGATGATGAATGTCGTACCGAAGGTTCTGAGTCCCCGCCTAATGCCATCGGCGCATGTGTAGCAGCCTGATGTTGGCCGTTTCCGAGCTTCTAGAAGACTAGCGCCCAGGTGCATGCTGCATGCGCTTCAGAAGCGAGGTGTGGTGGTAGAGTGCCTCGGTGAGCTTCAGAAGGAGTTGGCTGCTGGATTTCTGCTGGGATTTTTGCTTTCTGCTTTCAGTGATGTGGGCCGAGGCACAGTGTGGCGCCGCCATCGGATGCCAAAGTCGAGTCAGTGGAGCCGGACAACAGCAGCCCGGACAGAGCAAGGCATTGTCTGCAGCCCTACCAGCAGTGCGGTGGTATCAAACCTGATGGTGCCTTGGATGACACTATGGGAGCTGCGTCTTTCTGCAAACTACTAACTAGCATCACGTGTCACAGCATTGGTAGCTGTCCGTTGTCAGTCGATGTCGTAGATAGTGTTGCCCTCTCGCCCTGCATGTCCGAGGTTCGCCATACGCAGGTGAAACCTGTTGCCACGGTGGTTACTACTGTACGGAGGCCCAAGCGGCTGAGTTGCAGGTTAGTGGCCGTTCGCCTCGTGCTTTACGGAGGTGAACGCCAATTGGAAGCAGTGCAATCCGACAAAAGCAGGAGACCCGCATTTTGTGCACCTCGTCCCAGAAAGAAGTGGGGGGCCACCACAAGAAGAGCGACGAAGAGCGGCACCACCAGCATACTGTTGAGATGCTTTTAGCATGTCAGGTACAGGCCCACGAAAGCGCTGACGCAACTTCTATGCAGTTTTGACCTATGTGCTTCTGTCGGGCCCCTGGGCTATTCCGCCATCCGAGGGAGCCCAGCAAAGCTCCGCTGCTTACGTACTATGTCTACAGGGCGGAGTCAGCAGATTCAGCCCTGTGGCTGCAAGCAGCCAGACCGTCGCTGCGATTGAGATGCGAGACTAGCTGCAATGGTTGGCATGCCCTTGTGATTCCAGGATTATTCCGATAACGTGAATGCGCCAAGCTCAGTGCTGATTATGCTACACGGATCAGAAAACGTTTGCCGATGCGCGCGCCCGCGGGTGTGTGTGTGTGTGTGTGAACCTCCCTAGCACATGGGAGCAGAGGGTCACTCCTACACTGTTTGCAACTTCGCTTTTCAACATAATCCGGCATTAGACATTTACAAAATCAACTGTTGCAGGGGGCATGCGGCCATTACGCAAACGCATGCCAACGAAGCTATGCGTAATGGTGGATACCAGACCTGATCAGTCTGGCGTACCTGCATAAAATTGAGCTGGGGCCCCTGTGCCAGCCAGATTAGAAGGCCCCTGTGCCAAGATTAGATTTTCAATTGCCACAATTGAAGTTTGATGCGACAACAAGCAAGAACAACATGCCTCTCTTTTTCCTCTTGCACTCGTACTCTTGGCCGAATCCATCAGTGTGATCAGCGTGGGTCGATGAGACTCCAGAGCAACGGCTTTCCGTCATGGCGCCGTGGTGACCCTCCGGGGAGAGCGGTGATGAACCGGGTGTTCAGCCTTCGTTCAGATCGTTCAGAATCTCCCGATGCTACTTTATCTCTCTCTCTCTGATGCTCGCATGTGAGTCTGACATGAGTGCAGGTGCAGTAAGGGACGGCTAATGCAGTAAAGGGCGTCTAGTGAGCAGGTGCTACCTCTCTAGTCTGCCCCGTATTTTACCGCTTCTTTATTCCTCAGGGACTGCAAGGGCATGTGCATCTGACATGAGTGCAGACGCGGTACCAGTGTCTACAGCAAGTGAAACAGCGCTCTCTTCGGAGAGTAATCGGCCCTCTTCCTTCTCTCCGTCTACGACCTCTCAAATCAGTCCAGCAGGGACAACCAGGACAGCCTGCACTTTGCTTGTGCAACTGTGTTTGTTTCACCCACTTCGTTGCAGCTATGTGGCCGGATTATTTTGCCGCGCAGCCACCAGCAACACCATATGCACCAACAGCCCGACCGGTGCTGAATCAATTTCACCCGAACACCTGGGTACCGCAGTCACAAAGCTACCCAGCAATGATGCCAACTGGCATTGCTGCCACTCAGCAGCCCACACTGCCGACACAACCCACTACGATTCCTGTTGAGCAGACGCACAGCTTCCCCATGATGCCGTGTGGACACACTGCTCCTATTCCACAGCATCCGACGGTATATACACATCTCAGCACACCACAACCCCAGATGCCACAACAACCTCCACCCCAGCAATTCATGTCACAACACCCCCCCACTTTCCTGAACCCTGCTCTATTGCCTACCCATCCAACAGTTTTTCCCACGAGCCCATCAACTCTGACACCGCATCAGCCCCAGCCTACCACATACAACCTTCCTTTTACACCACCTGCTCCACAACCCCAACCTGCACCTTGCAACATCCCTTCCACACAACCCGCTCAACAACCCCACATACCGCCGCCAACAACACTTCAACAAGCTTCACAACTTCACCCCACCAGTGTTCCCACTACGGATGCCACACACATTGCCCCGCAGACACCGGCAATGACTCCCCAACAACAACCAACAAACACAGCCAACACCCCTTCCGCCAGCACATTGCCACCCACACAACCACCCCCAGCTACGGGATCGGCAGACACCGACCAGTTTGCAACACGTACTTCTCCCCACCATCCTCCGTTGCCACGCAGGCGACGGCGCTCACCCACACGCAGCAGAACTCGCACCGTGAGCACTAGGCGCCGACGTCGCACACGCAGCAGAGCACACGCAGCAGAGCAGCGGGAGACACCACCACCGACGCAGACACCGCCGATCCCGCGACACTCGCAGAAGTCGTTCTCGCAGGGACACCAGACAATCTTTGTCGACACCTCCGCGGACCTCGGTTGTGCTCCGTAGCTATTCTACAGTACGTGATGATGATGCCAACAAGTGGCATTACAGAGCCACACAGCCACGTCAGAGGCCACCTACCCCACCCAAGGTCCCACAAAGGACATTGGCCTCGCAGGTTCAGCGAATCGCCCTTCGCATCAAGGGCAGCCAAACAGCACAACAGCAGCCCCCAACAGGCCAGGGCACACCCTCTCGCCAACAGGTTCAGCACAATCCCTCCAGCTCTATTCGGACACCTGCCCCGATTTTTGATGCATCCACAACTGCTGCCCCATCGGGTCAGCCAACCCTCGAACAACTGGGCAAACAGAGCAGACCACCACAGATTGATGTGGCGCCTTTCTCTGAGCTTTACGATCATGAAAAGCCGACCCCCCACGCTGTCGACATGGAAGAAGCACATAAACTCGCCAAAACCTTGGGCGAGATAGCTGCTGACAGCGATTTCAGGCAGGAGACTTTAGCCGAATTTGCACATGCCGTGCTACAGTCGGGCACGCGATCAGCGTGCAACGAACTGGGGGCAACGCTGACGCCAATATCGGACGGCGTACATACTATGTTATTCATCCCGTGGGCTGGAGAGACTCGCAGAGCATTCGGCACTCGTGCCACCGACCCACCAGGGGAAACATACATCTACACCGCCGGACACGGCACGAGCATTGCAAGTGCCGCGCGCATAATGCGCGAGGACTTGGTCCGCCCAAGTTCAGTCAGCCATTGCTTCGACGACAAGTCCTATCCACCCATTCCCTCTTGCGTCATATACGGGAATGCGACCCCAGGAGATGTATCGGAAAGCACGGTACATATAGTTACCGATCAATGTACACGGCGGCCCAAGGGCCAACAGGGAGTGATCGTCATCGGGACAATACGGACTAAGTATCAGCATTACAAGATGACGTATCGGGACATGTACAGAGAGGCTTTCATCGTGGGGCGAAAGGGTGTCGTGCGGACCCCAGAGAAGTGGGGATTCCACTCGGGGCATTTCAGCATCGTTGGATTCGGCCTCATTCAGTGATGTTGCTTTCTTCTTTTTCTTCCGTGTCTTCCTTTCACTCTCGAGTAT